CCCTTGTGGGGGCTCATTTTGGGGCAAACCCACCACCACTGGTGTGGCACTGACCTGTTAGTGATGGTGACCAGCGTGGAGCCATAGTCGGAGCACATCTTACGGGCGTCACTGTAGGGCACACGGTCCTCGCCCAGCCAGAAGCAGGAGGGGCTGTGCCACTTCCAGCCCTGGGCACAGGTGACAGGGGATGTCTGCTACCACTCATCCCAGGAGGGACCCCAGGGGGGCGGGGGGTGAGGGGAAAGCAATGTCCCACATCCCCTGCCACCACCTCTGCCTTCTCCTGGGAGGTCTCCTGCCCCCGGCCACCCTGGCTTGACCCTGTTCAGCTTTGAGCTCTAACAAGCCCCTGGCCCCAGAGCACATGGCTGCAAGGAAAACAAACACCCAGGCAGCTTCAAAGCTGGGGAAATGGCTATCCCTGCCAACGTCCAGCCCTGGCCAGGGCCTGGGGACAGGAACACAATCCTTCTCTATATGCCGCGGGGCTGAATCCAGAGCGAGTCCCACCGCAGCCTGCTTTAATCCCTCACCATGTTGATGTTGGAGCCTCTCCGGGGCTGGAGACACAATAGCGCCTGTTTTATGCCAGAGCAGGGAGTGGGGCGGCCCCGGCGCTGGCAGTGGCCCCGGGAATCATCTGCGAGAGGGGACATGCACGTGATGGAAGAGCAAGCCGGGGTGGGAAAGGTGAAGGGGCTCAGCCAGGGAGGCAAGTGGTCCCAGGCTCAGAGACCCTCCTGGTACAAGAAGCAGCATCACCGGGATTTTACGTCTGGGTGCCCTGGGCATCGGAAGGGCAGTGGGGGACATGTGCTATCTGCAGCATCAGCAGCAGGGTGGGGAAGGAAGTAGGAAAGCAGCTTTGGGAGACCAAGAGGAAAATGACCCCAAATCCCACTTTTTTTTTTTTCCCCAAGTTCCTGCTCCTGCAGCCTTTCCCCAAAGTTAGCAAACCCAGGTACGGACCCATTGGCTGGGTCCCACCAGGAACAGCGCAGATTCCCCTGAGCAGCCAGGAAAGGGGCCCTGCATAGGACAGTGCATGTCCCCGATGTCCTCAGAGGGGTCCCCAGCCAGCCTTGGGCCTCAGCATCACTAAAATCGTATGGGTGCTCTCCCATGCACTGAGCACCACAGCAAGCCCCTGTGATCCAAAAAGGGGCCAGGATGGGACCGTCAACCCCAACTGCTGACTCCAGCTCCCAATCCCGGTGTGCCCCTGCATTCCTCTCTGGCTCTGCCTTCCCCATTGCTCAAACCTCCATCCCTCATTGCTTCCTTCAAGGCTGTTCCAAAAATACAGGGGTTTTGGAGAGAGGGAGAAAAAGCAGCAAAGCCACCAAGAAAAAACAGCACAGTGGCTGGAAAGGACTGGAGTTGATCCTCCGAGCAAGATGCCACCTCCTCTGCATCCAAGCAGCAAATGGCCCCATTGAGGATGCAGAGGAGGAGGAAGGATGGGAAAAGGCCTTTCCTTGGTTCATTTATCACTCCCAGTTTGTTTCCAGCGAGTGCACATCTCTGCTGGGCACCCAGGACCAGGGTAAGACTGTGGCTGGAGAGACAGGAGGGGGTTAAATCTGCATGGGGACATCCTACAAGGCCTCAGGACTACTGCAGAGACAAGCAGGATGGGTGGTGGCACATTGCCACTGAACGCCTCGTCCCCAGCACCCGCCAGCACCGGGGCTCCTCTGACTCCAGCTGGTAGCCCCCCCGAGCCTGGCCTGGTGTGCCAGCTCACCCAGCTGCTGCGCTCCCCCCAAATGCTTGCAGAGCCAAGCGGCTGCTGGAATTTGTCTCTGCTGAGACAGGGTAAAGACCGGGGAGGAGCCCAGCAGCACCTCCGGGAGCTAGCCTGGAGGGGCTGCTTGCTAGTCCGAGCGCGAGTGCGCGCTGGCTTGCTTTGAAACTCTGGGAGACATTCAAGGGAGGCGGCGATGCCAGGGTTGCTGCTCGAAGACTTTGCAAAGAGGCACAAAAGCAACTTCCCAGCAAGTGTGGAAATGGGGCGGCCTCAGCCCTGCTTGACAGCTGGGGAAACTGAGGCAGAGCATGGTCCAGGTGAGAATCCACCAGTTTGGTGGCTATGTCCCCAAAACGCCCGTATCCTGCACAGAGAACGCAGCCTGCCATCACAGGGCCAACAGTTACATCCGTCCTGCGGGGCTCCTGCACGGAGCAGCTTTGCTGCTGGGTTTTGGCACGGAGTGAGGCAAGGGGAAAAAAAAAGAACATCCCTGCTGGCAACCCAGCCAGCCCAAGGGGGAGGATCTTGGACGATGGAGACGTGTTCCATCCCAGTTTCTTCCCGCAGTCTCATGCAACCACAGAAGTGAGGGGCTCAGCAGCCCCCAGGCACAGACCTGCAGCTCTGGTGCTGCTCACTGGGGCTCCCTGAAATCATTTTGGGGAGAGGTCCCCTGGGACCCCAAAGACCCAAGCATCAGGCAGAGATGTGGAGCAGCCAGAGCCACCTCACCTTTCGGCACCCGTGGTCATCCTCATCCTTCTCTTGGCTCACCCGACCGGGCTTTTTGCAGATGGACGGCAGGGTCTGGTTGCACGGGCTGTCGTTCCACCTCCCTTCCTGCACAGGGTGAAGAAGAGCAGGTTTGAGCCCAGCCAACAGCCCAGGAATTCCCCAGCCCAGCCACCTCCATGTTGGGTCCACAAACTTTCCTTCCCTACACCAAATCCCCAAGGATGCTCTGCTGGATCCCTCCTATCCCAACAGCTGGGATTAGCCAGGTTCAACCCCAGCCAGAGATGCTCCCCAAGGTCCCTTCCCCAGCCCTGAGGATGCTGCAGTGCTCTCTGCAGGCGTGCAGGATGAATCCCTTGCCCCAGGCTCTCACCGGTCCCCAGATAGTCACACAGTCTTCCAGGCTGTCGCGGAAGTTGTTGGGCTCGAAGGGGTGCCAGTAGGTGAACCTCACAGGTGTCCCATCTGACCACTCAAAGTTCATCTGCAGCTTGAGGTCATTTAGGCCAATCCAGAGCTCCTCCACATCTGCCAAGACAGGAGGATCAGGGAGTGAAACTCCCTCTGGCCTGGCTGAAACCCTGCAGAGACCTCGCCGGTGACATGAGCCTCCACGACGAGACCGAGCTCTGCAAACCATCTGCCAAAACCCCTTGGAGGTGCTGCAGGGCTCAGCCTCTAACCCCAGCCATGCCAGCAGGCAGGGCAGGGCAGGGCAGGGCAGCTTCTGCCCACAAGGACAGACCCACAGAGGGGAAAACGCAGCAACATTTGCCAGCAGTTTTCAGAGAGGTGCTGGCAGCAGCAGAATGATAAAAGTCCGGACTTGTGGGCTCAGGTCCAGCGAGCTACTGGTTTTCAACCATTCCCTCCCATCCTCATCTGCTCCCAGCCTGGGACCGCCGGCATGTCCCTCTCCTTCCTCCACCCTCCTACAGCTCCTGTCTCCCTCAGCATTAAGTCCCTGTAGCCCCCGGCCCTTCCCTGGTCCCTGCTGAAGTCTGGGTCCCCAAATGTCCCCGTGGCAGCTTTTGCTGCCAAGGCTCTTCCACTGCGGGCTCGCAGGAGCGCATCATTTGGCTGGAGGGGCTGCATTTGTGTGGGAACAGCAAAACCTGAGCTGAGGATGACCCTAATGAGGGGTGGCACAAGCGGGGTCCGGAGGACGGTGGCATGGGTGCTCCCCTGTGCCACCATGCACGATTGCTCAGGCTGAAACTTCCCAAGTACCATCTCAGCTCTGACACATCCCAACGTGGGAAACTTCAACCCAGACAGTTACATCTGGTTGAACCTAGAATAGGAAAAAGAAACCTGGGACACCATAGGCAGGAGTTCCCCCTTCACTTGACCTGCTGCAGGGGACACTTAAGTTTCAGGCAGACTTAGCAGTAAGAAATGCATGCTCCTCCAGCAAGGCCACGACTTTTTTTTCCCCCATCCTTTTCTAAATTAACCAATGGGACTAGTGCCATTCCCAGCTGCAGCTGCATATTTTCTTGCCCAGTACCGCAGGCTCCCAAGAACGGCTTTTACATTTGCTGGATGGAGGATGTGCCCGGAGCACAGGTTCCTCCAAGCAACACACCACCTCCCAGCCTGGGGTCTCCACTCCCTTCACAGCCACAAACTAAAATTCAACTTTGCAGTCTCCATCACACAGAAGTGACCTTTCCATACACCCCAAAATTGCACGGGAAGGGTGCTGCGGATACAGCTAGCTCCCCCTTACCTTGCTTGATCTGCTTGGTGACAAACTCCAGCTCGGAGAGGGTGTGGATGCTGACCAGGTCCCCCCCGCTCCGCAGGCAGGTCTTCTTCGCCTCCTGCCAGCTCTTCTTCTCTCCCACCAGACGGTAGCAGTTGGACTGGAAGGGCTGCCAGCTGGGCTCGCAGTCCACCTTCACCTCCGACCACGAGTCTAGCAGGACACAAGGCAGCCTGAGGGCTCCTGCCCGGCTCTCCAACCCTCTTGGCAGCGAGAGATCATGGGCAGGGACCCACTGGGTGCTCAGGAGACCAAGCCAAAGCAACAGTGGGAAAGCTACGGCCAAAATGTAACATGCAATGGCAATGTGTGGGCAGCGGTGGCTTTAGAGCTCTGCGGACAAAACAAATTCCTTTTGTTTGCAAAGGAGTGACAGCAGAGCCCAGCAGAGCGGAGAGCACCCTGTCCTCCGGGGACCATGGGGAACCTCCCGCTCCTCTTGATTCCTCCTCTATTGCCCAACCTGTAGTTGCACCAAGCACTTCTCAGGGGATGCTCCTTGCGGAGGACTTTTTCCAAATCTAGGCACCTCCTGGGAGCTCCATCGCTGCTCTGCACACCCAGCACACCAGCAAGGTGGGGACACCAGGAGCATCTCCACGGGCTGCTCCGGCACTTAGACAGCATCCGCTGGCCAGGATGGGACAGGAGGATGCCTGGCCAGGATACAGGACTACCCATTCCCGGTGCTACTCATCCCCACTTCTCACCCGTCAGGAAGGGGTCGGCGGTGGCATTGGGCTTCTTCTTGCAGACGTAGGGGAGGGCGATGCCGCAGTCGCGGTTCTGCCATCCCCCGGACGACTCAGTGCGGATCACCCCGCAGTTCTCCTCACTGGGGTTGTCTGGCTGGTCTAGAAAGTGGGGTGAGGGCGAGACATGCTGATGAGGGGGCTGGTGGGGCTGGGACAGAGCCAGTGACACTGCTCACGCAGGCAGGGCACCGTGTGAGGGCCAGCACCAGCAGGGTGCAGCTCTCCCTGCTCCAACACCAGTAAAGATCTATTTATTTTGTTGCTTTGCATGATGAAGACGTGACCCCGCGTGCCCGGGATTATTTATTGTGCCTTGATCCACAAGGACTTGGACCATCATTATTTTACCTACAAACATTGGATGGCAGCTGGGGGGAGACATGGTACCAGACCTGAACTGTTCCAGTCTGTCCCCAAACCTCCTCCTGGAGTGCCACTGGGTGACAGCATTGGGCACCAGAGCACCCTTGCAACAGGTCCTTCTGCCCCTTGAGCACCCCAGGGTTAGAGATGGGTGTCTGCAGTTGGAGACCATGCCTCAGCCACACTGTAGTATTGAGCTGGGATGCAATGACCCTCCAACCAAGGGTGCTCAACCCAGGTTATCCCCAAAGCAGCTGAGGGTTTGCAGAGGGACAATTCCCTCTCCAGCGTCCTGTGTCCTCCCTCCAGCTCTATGGATGTCCCAGGCTGCTCTGCAGCCCCACAGGGTTCTTCATCCCCAGGCAGTGAGGGGACACCTCACAGCAGCCCGGGCCACCTCCCCTGCCATGGGGCCATCTCCAGTGGTCGCAGACTGTTCCATGGCCTCCCCCATCACCACTATAACCGCCTCCAGCTCACCGCTCTCCCAGTTGAGGTACTTGAGGGGCGAGTTGTCTGACCACTGCCAGCCTCCATTGATGTCCAGGTCGTTGAGCCCAATCCAGAGCGTGGAGCTGTACCCTGTCAGCAGCCCTGGGACCACATCCAGAGGCGCAGGATCAGTTCCCCCAGCTCAACCCCCCGCCTGTCACCATCCCCAAACCAACCACCCAGGGCAAGCAGAGAAACCTGGCATCGGCAATGGCCACAGTACCACCAGCTCTGCCCCACGTGAGGAGGGTGGGTGCGCAGCCAGGCTGCCATCGTCTCACCGTTGATATAGGTCTGTTCATGGATCTCGGTGATGCTGAGCAGGTTGGCCCCTTGCTGCTCGCAGCTATTCCAGGCCTCCCGCCATGACAGCGTCGACTGGAAATTGAACTGGTAGCAGCTGTTGGTGAGGTGGTCCTTGTCCCAAAAGGTCTCGCAGTCGTTGCCTATGGGGATGAGCACAGTGAGCACCCAATGCAGCCCCATCCATGGCTCCAAAAAACCCCAACAGCCTCCAAAAGCCAGGTAACGAGAAGCCAGTGGGGCTGCTCTGGCATTGCAGGCTACTCATGGGAGGAGGGATGAGCCAGGAGGGAAAGGGAGAGGCAGGAAAACCCCCAGGAGGGATGAACATGGGGTTTCTGCTTTTCCCTGCGGGATGCTCCCCCCCACTTACTCTTTATGGGGCAGAAGCCCCATCGCTCATCCTTGCCGTAGTCCTGGGTGGTGGCACACCAGAGATGGCCGTCCTCCCGCCCTGTGCTGGTGCACTCATGAAACCACTGGTTGTCATACTTGAAGGGGATGGTGCACGGCTTCCCATGGGAGTTGCCTTGGATGGTGTAAATCTCTGCGGAGAAAGAGAGGCCCTTGCATGAGGCTGTGTCTGCAGGGGGGGCTGGAGGGAGGTTTGGGCTGAGGGGTGCAGGTTGGCTAGTGCAGGGGCTGCCTGCTCCCTGGGGCTGATCCCCATTGCCCCAATCCTGCCTGGTTTTGCAGCTGAGCTCCCCGGGTAGGACCCGATTGCTGCAGCACCATGGCTTCACGTTTTGGGGCTGGTTTGGGTTACAGGATAATACTAACACCCAAGAAGGCATTACCAGAGTATGGCACGGAGCACAGATCCTCCTCGGTGCCGTACGTCCTCCACTGCGAGCCGCGCGCCTGGTCCCCCCTGTCCAGGGAGGAATTGCCTGGGCGGGCACCAAGATGCTGCGAGAGCTGCTCCCCGAGGCCACGGCAGCTCCAGCGCATGTTGACAGACTCACGGTCGCACTCGTAGGTGGCCAAGGGGTGCTGCCCTGCCGTGGCATTGGCCCCGTGCCATGACACTCCTAGGCACTGCATGGCCCCCACGTTGAAGAGGCGATTTCGTGAGACCCATTTCCACTGCTGGGCTGGGGTGCTGGTGTTGCAGCCCTTGGCAAGTCTCACCAGAGAGTCCTTCGTCTCCAGACAGCCCTGCACACCCGTGTTGTAGATGAGGAAGACTTTGGAGTCTGGGGAAAAAGCAAGAGGAAAGGCTTAGAGCATTGCTGGGGGTTCAGCATTGTGCCACACATTGCCCCCAGCCCTGCCAGAGCATCCTGGCCCCCTTTCTAGGCACAGCAAGTTTTGGGGTGCCTCCCTGTGCATAGCACCCGGCACGCCAGGGACCACTGCTCGTCTGCAGATATAACCCCAGGGTTTGCGCCGATGCCTGTCCTCAGGGTGATGGGCTCCAGGCAGGGTGATATGGACGGGTGTTTGCACCCGGAGCCAGCTGAAGCCTTGTCGCACCCCCGTGAAGCACAAGCAAGTGGCTTTTCAGCATCGGAACCGGGACAAAGAGCTCGCCCGTTCCAACAGCATCATCAGCGCCATTTAAAATTGAGTTCCCCTCGCAATACCCGGCCGCAGCATCCCAAGGCATTGCAAGGAGTGCTCTGCCGGAGGAGCCCACGCCAACGGCTTCAGCACCAGCCATCTGCTCCAGGTGGAGAAAAACAGAGCAGGGAAATGGAGAGCGTATCCGTCATTTTTATGTGTATTTGGGGACCTGTTAAAAAAACTGCGGAGCAAACAAGAACTTCAGAGGAAGGTCTTCCATCGTGTGAACAGGCGTGACGGAAAACGCTTGCACGCAGCCGCGGCTCTCACGGGCATAGCCCCAGCAAATACGAAACGTCGTGTTGGGACTCTCTGAAATCCCAGCGCAGGCGTTGGGAGGCGGGAGGAGAGTAAGGGGAATCGCTGCCAGCAGATAAAGCGCTAGCGCAGCTGCGGAGGGGAGAAAGGCTGATCTCAACGCCGGCTCAATGCACGTACCACGGTCCTGCCCACTGCGACCGCCCAACCCTGCATCCCCACGGCAATTCCCTGACCCCCAGCATCACTGAGGGCCACCGCAGGACATGAATCCATCTCAAAACCTGTATAAACCAGTAAAGCCAGGACATTACACTGGGACACGCTGCTCCAGCTGACATATCATTTTTAAAAGTTACTTTATTTCTCCAAAAGCATCTTTCTAAGCTAAAAAGCCACCCTCAGGGCTCCGCACAGCCGTTTCTTGCCCCAACACTCCAGCAAAAAAGCTGCCCAAAGCAGCACATCAACAAGACAACTTTTGTCAGGGATTTTTTTTTGTTTTAAAAGCAACCCTTTTTTTTTTTTTTCCCACTGCAAGCATCCACCAGAAGTCAAAGCAAACTCACGGGCCCCGCTATATTTAGCTTTGGTTTGCTTTGGTTTTTTGCCATTGTATGAATTTTTTGAGCTGAAAAGGTTTTCATTTCCTATTCCCCTGCAACCTCACCCTGCCCCAGCTATGTTGTAACAGGCAGCTCTGGCACATTTGAGCAACAAACATCTCGGCTCAGCAAACCGACTTGTGTCTGAAAGGAAAAAAGAAATGGAGGAAGAGACAACCTCGTTTTATTTCAGAACTTCAGCATCGATGCAGCTCCAGAAAAGAAATGATGTAAAAGGCCTGTTCCCCAGCCAAGAGGACATCAGTGATGACCTCAAATAAAGAAAAGCGAAGCTCGTTCACGTGGCGATCTCCAGAGAGCAGACTCTGTGCACGTGCAATAGAAAAAGGCAACAACTGGAAGAAGAAACATTTAATTTCTGGGAACGTATTTTTCAAATCATGGCAAGCGAGAAAATAAGCAAAAATCCAGACAGGGCCGATTCTGGTTGGCTGAAGCTCAGGTCCCTTAAACTGGTGCTGGTGTTTCACCAAGTGGAGCTGGCTTGATCCTGACCTGGACATCAGGAGACCAGCTCATCCCCTCCACCAAACACCCATCTCAGCGTGCCAGCATCATCCATGGCATCACCCAGCCCATCATGCTCCCCTTCCTGCACGCAGCGAGGAGTGGTGCAACCCACCAACAGCACTGTGGACATGGGGGGGGGGGTGTGTGTGTGTGTCTTTAAGCACTTCTGGGGAGATGCAGCATCAGTGCTGTGACCCACTGGACCCGCATACCAACGCTTGGGCAGGATGAGGCCTCCCTGGGACACAGGCTGATGCCACACTGCTTTGCAAGGAGCCAAACACTGTCCTTTTGGTACTAGGAATAGAAAAAGCTGCTCTACCGCTAGCACTGCCACGGCCATGGGCAGCAACGGACACTCTTCTCTGATTATCTGCTAACCTGGCTTTGCAAAAAAAAAATTAATAGCGCATTGGAAAAGCCCTGAAGCCAGCTCCAGGAGCCAGTGTCAGGGTGCTCAGTGCTGCATCGGGGCTGTGCAGCACCATCCAAGGGCAATGCTTGACAGCAGCCACGCAGCGGCACGATGCTCAGAGGAAGCTGTCCAGACTGGAGGGAGCAGTCCCAGGGCTGGAAAAGCACAAAATATCATTTTACTCTAAAAAGAGAAGAGCTGGAGGTAGAAAATTATAGGCTAAGGGGTTTGGGCTGCCCCCACAGACAGCTCAGCCCACAGCCCCTTTGCCCGAAGCAGGCAGAAGGCAGCACCAAATGTGCCCCCCCCAGTCCCTGCTGAGCCCTGGTGGAACGGGAAAGCTTTAGCACCGGCTCAGCCCTCACACCTCCCCAGCCCTTCCATCTTCTCCCCTTGCAGAAACCACTGTGCACCAACGGTGGGGACCTGCTTCTGGCGAGGCTGTAGCGGGCGGGGGGGATTATGACCAACACGAGCTCAACATGCGTCAGCAAAGGCACGTGCTGTGCTTCACCCAAAATATGCTTTTTTCTTTCACTTATTTACAGGGAATTCAGGGCTGACTTGACCCCCCTCGGTGTCCATGACATTGGCAGCAGCACTTGTTCCAGCCCCTGATGCACTGAAAGGAGCTTTCAGCCTCCCCAACCCCAGCCCCCAGCACGGCCGAGCCCAATGGGCTTTGTCACCTACGGAGGAAACGGCTCCCCAGGAGACCACCGGTCTTTTTTTGCGTGGCACCCCTTACATCTGCTGAATCCAGGTTCTTCCCAACCATCTCCCAGCTGACGCTGGCTGCAGGCACTGTGCCGCCAAGCACCAGCCTGGCTGTGGCCGGCTCCAGCTCAACCAACCACGCTCAGCACCAAAACCAAGAGCCGGAGTGCACTCTTCCCCGCTCCCACCCGGCTGCTGACGAATGGGATGGATGCGGAGTTGGGTGGAATGGGACCAGTTTATATCAATGATTCCCTTCTGCCAACCTGGTATCACAGAGAGTAGAACCAACCATTGCAGAGGCAGCTCCAGAGGAGCATCCCAGCGGGATCGGGAATGTCCCCGTCCCTTCCAGGGCCCCCTCTCCTACACTGTCCCCCGCAGCCATGGCACAGTTACGGGTGACTACTTTCAGAGATGCTCCTCGGGTTTTTTTTGCACCTACTTGTGGACTTGAAACCCCACTGGCAGAACTTCCCAACTGCCCTTCGGCTACGGAAACCCAACCATGGCAAAAAATGGCAGCTCCTCCTCCCTGCCCCAAAGAGGAGCTGCCTGCACACCCTGTGCCTCTCCCTCCTGCATCCCACATCTTTCGAGCAGGGCCAGCTCAGAGCAGCTCTGTTCCATCATGTCCTGCTCCTCCTCCCCCTACATGGGAAATACCAGGATGCTCGCACTCTGGCACAGTGGGAGAAATTGGCCTTGGCACCAGCAGCTGAACGCCGCAGAGCTGGAGAAGCTCTGATCCTCTGGGGCAGCCCTCAAGGGAGTTTTTACACCCTGTGCCTGGCTCCAGGTTCTCTTTTTCCTTTAATTAAAAAAAGCAAGTTTTTAGCCAGCAGAAAGGCTGAACCGAAGGGAACTCAGCTCAACCCTTCCCACAACAGCTTTACCAACCCACAGCAAATAAGGGAAGCTTTGCAACCTACAATTTTGGGGAACGTGGGCAGCACCGGATGAGAGAGGCAACGGGGATGGGGAGGCTCCAGGGGACAGAGGTGGCCATCAGTGATGGTAGACATGGAAAGCAATACGGCATGGCATGGTGTCCATGCCACCACCCTGCCCTGAGTGCATCCCAGCCTGGCCACCCACACCAGGACACCCAGAGCACCCCTGCTCTGTTGCATTTGTCACCCTCCCACCAGCAACAAATGCAGGGAGCAAATTTAAGAGAGGACTGAAGCTACAGCTGGACCCCAATCCCAGTTATCCCAGGCTGGAGCAGCTCCAGAGCTTTGGCCACAATTTCATCTGACTGCACCCAAAGCGAACGCTGGCCTGAGCATGGCAGTGCCACTCCGTCTCGGTGCCCGCATCCCCTGCCACCGCCCTGGCTCCTCTATGAGGCTCATCACGGCACCCAGTTGACAGCAGAGCCCTTCACAGCAACTCTGGGGCTGCGCTGGGGCTCAGCCCCGTCCTGCAGCTGCCCTGGTGAAGGTGCCCCTGCCTGGTGCTCTAACTCAGGATTGCCCTTTTTATGGGGTGTCCCGAAAAAAACAGCTCCAAGCCCACTAGCGCAGGAGGCTGAGCATGCATAGAGCAACAGGGACAATCCCCTCCTTGAAGGTTTCTGTGCTGCAGACACAGCCATGGATGTCGTTTGCTCCAACCCACCCAGCAAAGGCAGCAAATCCTCAAAGCACAGCATGGTGCCCCAGCCGCAGCAGCAAATCGGGGTCCATCAGGGCTCCAAGACCCAGGAGCTCCTCAGGGGCTGCAGACACTCGTGCAAGGAAAGCAAGCCTGCTAATGAACACCTTCATTTGGATTTGGGGCCCATGCAAAAGTTTTACCTGTAACATCTGGCAGCAAGAAACGCACCCTTCACTTGGATGGTGCATAAAGAAACCTCCTTTTAGCCTGAACCTCCTGGTTTCATGTGCTCTCACTCACTAGAAAACAGGGCACAGCAGCCCCAAGACACCTGCTCAAAACTGCCAGGTTTTCAGCCCATTATTGCTGCCTGAGGATGAGCAGCTGCTCTGAAACCCACCAGTGGAAGAAAAGCTGCGGGAAGTGGCAGCTCATTCACAATAAACAAGGTGGGGATGCA